CCATTTGCTTGCTAAGTAGTATTCTGTTGTATGGCTATGCCACAATGTGTTAATCCACTCACTAGTTGATACACATTTGGGTTGCTTCCAGTTTTGGGCTATTATTATTCATAATAGCTGCAGTCAGCATCCACATATGCATCTTTGTGTGGACATGTCTTAATTTTGGGGGGGGGTAAATACCTAGGAGTGGAGTTTGTTGGGTGTATGGTATGTGTATGTTTATCTTTATGAGATACTTCCATAACCTTTTCCCAAATGGCTGTACCACTTTGCACTCCTACCAGCAACATATGAAAGTTGTATTTGCTTCACATCCTCACCAACACTTGGGACTGTCAGTCTTTTTAACTTTAGCCATTTGTTCTGGTTACCTAGTGTCACTCTGACAAGGATATACCACAAATGGGATGACCTTAACAAACAGGAGTTTATTCTCTCACAGTGTGGAGGCTTTAAGTCCAAATTCAAAGTACCAGGCTCTAGGGACTGTGTGAAAGCCCCTCAACCTTGGGCTTCAGCTCTGCCTCTTGCTCCTGGCCCACTGGAGCTAGAGGCATCTCTCACTCAGGCAGCTAGTGGTTGCTGAGGCTAACAAGCCTAAAGTCAACAAATAAAATGGCACAGTCCCAATGTTACCAAACCACAGAGTGGGCCATTAATTGAAGTCCATTGTAAGTCCCAAGGTTGGCAGAGCATGGCAGGCTGCTGAACAATGACACGGCTACATGCAGGGGCCAAGTGTGCCAAAAGCTAAAGACTATCCCTAAGGCTTCTCCTTACATACAGGAAGCAGACCACATCCCAAAGGCTCAGCTGCTTGTGGTAGATCCCACCATGGAGTTGATTACCAGTCTCATCATGGGGAATACTACATCTAGCTGCCCAGCCACTCAACCAGGCCCAGCCAAGATGACACACAAACTGAACCACCATAGTACTCTTAGGAGTGGGTAGTGGTATCTCACTGGGATTTTAATTTGCTTTTCTCTGATGACTAGGCATGACTGTAATCCTCATGGAGCCCCCAGGTGCCGAGTTCACTAGTTCAGTGAACACAAAGACTCTAGTAGGTTCATTGGCCTGTAGTGGGCAGAGAGTGGGGCAGGAGACTCCAGCTGTGGTCTGGGCTCCTTCCCTGACCTTGAGAAGCCCTGGGTGCCTCAGAGACAAAATAATGGGAGATAGAGCAGATGGTCAAGATCTGACTCCATCACCACTAGAACTTATAAATGTATACCTCCTCAAAGCTCAGAACTTTCTCCAACATAGACTTCCTGGAACATAGCTTTGCTAATGACAACAATTCTTCAATAGTAGTCTGACAACTTACAGCTACAAAATGTTTCCTCCTGCTTTTTATTTGACCTTCACTCATGAGATGGTCAAGGCAAGAGGTACTTTTCCTACTTACAGCTGAAGAAACTGAGCCTAGTAAGGAATGGCTTGCCCAAAGTCACACAACTAAAACTAAAAAAAAAAAATAACTATTATTATTAAAAGGAAGTTTTTTAAATGATGAACCAGAACGTTCATAGTTTCCCAGGTATTTCCCCAGCCATTTCCCAGCACGGGGAGAAGTACTGTTTGACCAATGAGGATTTTGAAGTCCAGAGAGGTGGGTGAGCTGAACTGGGATTACAGACCAGGTCTCCTGGCACCCAGGCCGTGGCTCTCCCCAGAGAACACACAGCTTTCTCATTTAATTGCTTATCACTGTGAGGCTCAGTGGGGCAGAAACAACCATCACAGGCCCAGATCCAAAAGAGGTCACCTAAGCCTTGCTGAAGCTCTGTGGCCCGGCCCAGCACCTGCTCTGGTGGATCCGGGTGCTCGGCAGAGAGCTCCAAGGGCATACAGTGATGTGGTTCTTGTTTCCAGGACCACCCCGATGTGGCCGAGGCTAGAGTTGGGTGCCTCTTCGCAGGTGTTGGCTGCTCCTTCAAGGTAAGCATCTAACTTTGAAAAAGATCTGCCCACTGAGGTCTCTGACCTCTAGGTTTCTCCACTCCAACCCCTCCAGGATTTTCTCATGGTGTCAGGCAACTTCTCTGCATGTTCCTGAGCAACAGATCCCACTATTAAGTCATCTTGATATGCAGGGAAGTTCTTAGTGTCTCACCTGAGCGTTGGTATTTGTTGCTGTTGTTAGGTACCATGAAGTGGATTCCAACTCATAGAGACCCCGTGTGACAGGGTAGAACTGCCCTGTAGGGCTTTCTTAGCTCTAATCTTTATGGAAGCATATTGCCAAGTCTTTCTCCCATGGAATCATTGGATGGGTTCAAACGGTTAAGCTTTCTGTTAGCAACTGAGCGCTTAACCGTCTGCACCACCAGGGCCCTAAAAGGACCCTGTGCCTCTCTCCATGGTCCTGAACCATCATTGCACGCGAGAGCAGGGCAGGGTCACTGCTCTGGAGGCTGGAATATGGGTGGCTTCCCGCGGGTATGTCTAATGCCAGGGGTCTCCTCCTGAATCCCTCCCCCTGCAGCCCAAGCCCCTCCCTTTGCTGGGTGAGTGGATCTGACTTTTCCTTGGCATCCTTGCACGCAGCACTCTCCTCTGCTCCCTGGTCCTTCCTCACCCTGTGTTGGCACTGACCAGCCCTGCTCTCTCTGCAGGGGAGCCCAAAGTCTGTGCAGGAGCATGAGGCCACTGCCCAGGCCTCCCACTTAAACCTGCTGTGGAGCTTCGTGAAGCAGTGGAAGGCCCAGCTGGGCTCCAGCCAGGTGTCTGGACCCACGGCCCTAGAGCGAAACCTGTCAGACCTGCAGCTGCAGGCGGCTGTGGAGGTGGCTGGGGACCTGGAGGTGGACTGCTATCGAGCACCCTGCTCCAAGGGCCCAGAGGAGTTGGCCCTGCAGCACTTCATGAAGGAGAAGCTCCTCGCTGAGCTGGAGGAGAAGCTGCGCGTGTTTGAGAACATCATCGCCGTCCTCAACAAGGAGGTGGAGGCCTCCCACCTGGCCCTGGCCGCCTCCATTCACCAGAGCCAGCTGGACTGCGAGCACATCCTGAGCTTGGAGCAGAAGGTGTGTGCAGGAGGCAAGGTTGCCTTCAGCGCCTGTGCAGGGCGCTCCCCTGGCCCCATTTCATCCCTGGAGCACAGCACCAGCCTTCCTCCTAAGGGTTCTCCCAGTTGAGAGTGTTCACTTAAAACCTCCCTCCCTCCAGGAAGAGCACTGAGTCAGACCTTTTAGTCAAGGTCAAACCCCCACATCCAGTGCTTCTGTTCCTTTGCTTGAACTCTGGCAATAGAACACTCCCTCCCCAGGCAGCTCATTCCATTGTTCACATTTTTCACTATTAGAAAGTTATTCATTACACTAAGTTAAAATCTGCCTCCCTTTGTCTTCCCTACATTGGTCCTGGTCGTGCCCCTCAGAGCACCAAACACATCTGCCCTCTAGTCCCTGTAGCCTCCCTGCAGAGGTGGGCAGTGATTAGATCCTGCCCGAGTGTCTCCTTCTTTCGGCTGAATGCCCCAGTGCCCTCTCCCTTGTCAGCACGTTGTCTCATGCTGTCTTCGTGTGCTGTGGCTCAGCCTGTGATGGATTCCACATGTGCAGACCATGATCCAGGTTATCCATTTGGGTTACAGTCCTTGGTGGAGTAAGACTGTTCCCTCCTTTGTTCCAAAGCTTTGCTTTTCATTAAAGTAGCCAGTCACCACGCTGCTGTTGCTTTTTTGCAGCAACATCATATCGTTGTCTTATATTGAGTTAGGCCTGGATTTTGGTTCTAGCTCCACAGTTAATTTGCCCTGAAGGTCTGGGCAAGACACTCCCTCTCAGAGCCTCAGTATCCCTATCAATAAAAATAGGGATTTAATTATCTTTAAGAGCAGTTACTACCATTCCTGTCTCCCCTACCTGAGCACGTCCAAGAATAAACTTGTAGCTTTGGAGGTTCACTGGGGAAACCCCAGAAGGGCCAGATGCTGAGTTTGAGTGACCAAGTAAAGCCTTTATTTATGTGACTCTTGTCCCATTAGAAGATAGTATCCTGAGGGCACTGACTCATCTTCATTTCACCAGCAAACTTCCTGCCTCTCCTCTTACATGCCGGGCACTATGCAAAGCCTGGACGGAGAAGAAATGAGCATGGCCCGAGGTGGTAGGGGAGACCATCTGGTAGAGAAGGCAGAAAAGCATGCCCATAAAGCTATGCCAAGGGCTCTGTAAGAACATAGATGAGAGACCAGCTGATCTAGGACAGTGGTCGAAGCTTCCTAGAGGAAGGACTGTATGAGGTGGATTCCTGAGGGATGAATAGGAGTTGGCCAGTGGCAAAGGAAGGAAAAAGAATTGCAGGCAGAGGGGGCACACATGCAAAGACAAGCGTATATAGAGTGTGACGTGGTCAGGAAGGCATGTTTGGGGCCAGTCTGTCTCTATATCTTGCTATCCCCACTTCACCCGCGAGCCAGCTGCTGGTGGCCCTGACTAAGTAAGCTTTCCTGCAGGTGATGGAGTTGCAGCAGAGCCTGGCCCAGAAAGACCAGGCCCTGTGCAAGCTGGAGCAGAGTCTGCACCTCATGGAGGAGGCCTCCTTCGACGGCACCTTCCTGTGGAAGATCACCAATGTCACTCGGCGGTGCCACGAGTCAGCCTGTGGCAGGACCATCAGCCTCTTCTCCCCAGGTGACCCCTCCCCAGGGCCACAGAGACCAGCTAGGGGAGGCATGCCCCACTGGGCCCTGCCAACGAGCAGTGGGAGCCACCAACCCTGCAGTGGCCACCCTGTGTCCCATTAGGCCAATGTCCATCAGGTCGCCTATCACAGCCAACAATTGTGCTGGGACTGTGGAGGCCGGGAGGGGAAGGAGCTCTCAGCTGTGGTGTCTGGAGAACTGAGCTCAAGTCGTCACTTAGCAGCGTACACGTGGGCTGGCTGTTTGAACCTCGGCAAGCCATTTCACCTCCCTGAGTTCAGTCTCCTTTTATAAACGGAGGTAAAAATGGTTATGTACTTCATGTAGATACTGGATATAAAAGAAAGTGAAAATGTGAACCAAAGCTTCGTTCAAAAGAGAAATGCAGATGATGATTGTCCCAGGGAAGAATGCTAGGCTCTAACCCTACTTTTAGTTTTGAGCCATTGACCTTGGGCCTGCCTAACCGTTGGGTCCCTTTTTCCTCATCTGCACTTTCCACCTGCCTGTGTGCTGACTGGCTTCCACCTTTCAGCTTTCTACACTGCCAAGTACGGTTATAAGTTGTGCCTGCGGCTGTACCTGAACGGAGATGGCACAGGAAAGAGGACCCACCTGTCGCTGTTCATCGTCATCATGAAGGGGGAGTACGACGCGCTGCTGCCCTGGCCTTTCCGGAACAAGGTATGGGCCTGCCCTCCCAGGGCATGATGGGATGGGGTGGGGGAACAGGAAACCTGGGTCCTAGTCCTGGCCAAGCCTCGAACTAGCCATGTGACCTGGGGCAAGCCCCTTGTCCTCTCTGCTGTTGCTAGTTTCCTCTTCTACAAACTGAGGGGCTGAGTCCAGATCTCCCTTGCAGCTCTATTCCAGCTAAAATGCCAGGAACTGAGGCGCTGGAAGGCCCGTAGAAGTAAAACTCACAGGGTGAGGGGAATAGGGAAAACTGCTGGGAGGAGAGGAGGTGCATTGGGCTAGCCTCTGGCAGGATGTTCAGAAGGTGGCAAATGGGGGGAGGGTCAAGAATACCAGGCGCAGCTGGGGTGGAGGGAGATGAGGGGGCACAGTGGGGTAGGGAAGAGTACCAGGTTGGTCCGAGGGTGAGTCAGCAGCCGGTGGTTCTCAAATGTGCTGGGGAGACTTTTTTAAATACCAGTGACTAGGTCTCACCCAAGGAAACAGTGAAGCCTGACGGGAGGTTTTTCCGGTCTCCCCAGATTCTCACGTGCAGCCAGTAGGCAATGGAAGCTGTTTCAATTTCCCGATTGGCATCTTGGTGACATGCACCAGGGAAGGGGGTGTGTATTTTGTGCCCCTTTTAGTTCATCATCTTCTGGGGGTAGAGTCTTATCTGCCAGCTTTACCACAGAAGCCCCATGAATGTTTCAGGGCATTGATGGACTGCCCCTCAGAAGGCCATCCACTCCTCCCTCTGCCCCAGGAGGTTCCAGCTGTAGTTGAGGAACCACAGTTGTCAGAGCTGGAAGGGACACTACAGGTTACTGAGTACAGCCTCCTTGCCAATGTTTTCAGCGCCTATTGGACTCTGTGGCACTCAGACTCACCCCCACAGCTCCCCGCCAGACAGGCTGTCAGATATCCCTAATCAGAGGGCAGCCCCGGATCCTGATCAGAACACCAGAGGCTACCATTTACTGTTCATTTGACCTCTCACCAGGGAGAGGGAATCAGTCTCAACCAAGGGTCTGGGCTACACAGGTGATGAGCAAGCATTTGAGTCTCTGAGCCTGACCTCCCACTTGCCCCACAGGTTACCTTCATGCTGCTTGACCAGAACAACCGTGAGCACGCCATTGACGCCTTCCGGCCCGACCTAAACTCAACGTCCTTCCAACGGCCTCAGAGCGAAACCAACGTGGCCAGCGGCTGCCCACTCTTTTTCCCCCTCAACAGGCTGCAGTCGCCCAAGCATGCCTACGTGAAGGATGACACCATGTTCCTCAAGTGCATCGTGGAGACCAGTGCTTAGGGTTGTAGGGGAGGCCAAGCAAGCCACTCCTGGATCCTGAGGGAACACAAGCTTGAACAGGGGGGTTAGCAAGATGACCATGAGTTCCTGTCCTGTGACCCAAGATGCAAGGGCACAAAGGTGGACTTGGTCTAGATTGATCTGGAAACACTGACACATGGACCATGGCTGGCCATCAGCTCAGGACGGTGGCACCTTGGGCTGGCTCCACAGAGGCAAAGGGGCCAGAAAGAGGCAGTAGCAGAATTGCCCCCCTTTGCACTGGCCACACCATACTGGGGGCACTGGAAGCCTCTCCAGCGTACATGTTAAGATGGACTTCCACCAAGATGGGGAGAGAATGGGGACCAGGACTGGGGCATGGATGGTGAAGGAGAGGTGTAGGATCTGGGCAAAGACACTCTCTAGATGGGAAGTGGTCTCAGGGCCACCATGGAGAACTGGAAACACACCTGTTCTCTTCCCGCCTGAGAGCAGAACTAGGACCAGGGGTGGAAGGAGTGGGGTTGGCTGTGTGAATTCAATCTATCCAGGCCTGGAATGACCTTCCCACAACTGAAGATGAACAAGAAAACCAGATGGCTACCCTGAAGAATGGGACATCAGATTTGGGGTTAGGTTGGGAGAACTTTAAGGTCCCTTCCAGCCTAGAAAGTCGCTAATTCTAGGGCTTCTGTCCCAGGTGAGGCCCAGGGCTGCAAGGGATCTGGAAACACGAGGAGCCTCATAGCCTCCTAGTTCCTCACTCACCTGCAGCCCCAGCAGGTGGGCCGAGCTGGCCAGTACAGCACCTGCCACCCTGAGCCTGGCTTCCCCAGCATGCCGAAGCACACAGCCCTGCATCCTGTGCCTCCACAAGCCCGAGTCCCCGCCGCTCAGCCAGGTGAAGCCAGGTCACTGTGAGCCGCCAGGAACAGCTGGAAGAATGTGGAAGGGGAAGGGCATGGACCCTCCATTCTCCCTGCCCGGAGGCCTCACCTTTGGTTCTTTCCATCCCACGTCGCCTGATTAACCAAGGTGTTCGCTTCTCTGAGTTACTTATCAGGGTCTCTGAGCCTCTGAGCAGAGGTGGTTTTTTTGAAAACATAAAACCAAAGAAAAAATTTAAAAAAAAAAAAAAACTCTTGTGACATTTTCATTAAGTGTGTGGTTGTTGGAGTCAGTTCAAACTGAGCCAAGCTTGAAAAGCCCACAGTTCTGGGTGCTGCTGCAAGTTGGGTCTGTGGTATCAGAGGCTCCACGTAGGCAGGAGCACCACCTCGCAACCTCAGGGTTCTCCTTTCCATCATGGAAACTGCTACCCCGCCTGCCTCCCTCGCTGGGGTCTGTGAACCTCAAAGGAGAGGCTACACAGGGGAAAGTGGAAAGAGAAAAGCCCACCATGGGCTGGCTGTGACCTGCTGGTCTTCTCACCCAGGAGGCCTCACACAGCCATTCTTCATGAGGGTCGTGACTTTCCAAAGGCCCCCTGCTCCCTACCAGTTCTGCACTTATGGGGCTGCCATAGATTTCACGCCTCAGAACTTCAGGGGTTTTTTTTCTGTTAAATGTCTGTCTCAGCAGCCCTGCCTGCTCTCCCTATTCCAGCATTTATGAGGATCAGTGGAGGTGAAGGGAGCAGCGTGACCCATTGGACCCCAATCCAAACGCAGCTCTAAACCTGGTAACCTGCCATGCCTCAGCCTCATTTGAAAATAGAAACATCCTGCCTGGCCCTGATCAGCTCACGGAGCCTTCATGAAGCCCAAACACAATCACGGGGTGCAAGTTCTTTGTATATATGAAGGTTTCTTGCCATGGGTGCCAGCCACAAACATACTGGGACTTCTTTTTCTGTCTTCACAGCTGCTGGATTGTCAGTAATGGAGACGGACTTGCTTTCCCTCAATAAGTTCGTAAAGAGTAAAGGTCTCTCCTGACCAATCCTGGGGACCTCTGCCTCCAAGGTGGTGTCCTGACAAGTAACATCTTAATCCCTACTCACTGAGCTGAAGGGGTTTGTGGATTAGTTACCAGAGACTTGTTAAGGCTTTACCTGTCATTGTTTGTTTCTGATGAGCAGAGACATACTCTCTTCAAACAATGTGAGACATAGCCATTTTTTCAGCAAAGTTTTGAGACTGAATGTGTCATCCACTGTGTTGGACACTAGGGATGGAGAGGTAAGATGTGTTCCTTGCCCTTGAGAAAGTTCAGTGGGAGAAACAGGTCCATAAGTAGCAGATCATTACAGCTGAAGAGTAAGAGAAGCTCATAGAAACCACAGGCTCCCAGACCACTGAGTGAAGCAAGGAGGGCTTTGTGGAAGAGGTAGCATTTAAGTGAACCCTTAAAATATTTTGGAATGTACTTGCGGGGTGTGCTGGAGAGTAAAAACACAGAGGTGGGAGACAGTCTTGGTGACAGGTGAGATCTGTGGGGCAGAGGCCCAGTCTTAGGGAATCATTGATGCCAACCCCAGTAGTGCCCCAGGAGGGTGAGCACAGAGCAGAGTGGTGGGTCACAGAAGGCCATTGTCCCCACAATGACCCTGGACAACCTTAGGCAATAAAGACAACTATTATTTATGCCTTCAATTGCTCGTTTCTAATAGGAAAGAACACATATCATATTAGAAAAAACTGAGAAAGTGAAAAATAAATACACAGAAGAAAGCGAAAAATCACCAGTGAGCCCCGTGCCCCAAGAGCACTACACCCACTCCTTACTTATCAACACAGTTAGGTTCCAAAGACCAGGTTGTTACACAAAAATAAGCATTGTGCAAAAATGGAAAATTATTACATCAGATCACAAAAGGGTGGATGACTTCATCATTACATAACTGCCAATTTACATAACTGCATAACTGCCAAGTTGCATCACTACATAACTGCCAAATCGCATCTCTACATAACTGCCAGATTACACCATTACATAACTGCCAAATCACTGAGACTCACAGCCCAGCCAAGTTCACACATAATCTTAACCACCATAGCCAATGTTCCTCTCACCTTGCATCTTGGCATTCATTACCGTCAGGTGTATGCTGTTCATGCATAAAATAGATAGTAGATTTTTTACTATTGTCATAAATGTGAGATGTCAGATAATGAAATCTTCAATGTGAGGAGCAGGTGTACCACAAACTTTGTGTTTTTGATAGGTGAGCACACACAGATCTGTTGTCGTCGTTGTTATGTGCCGTCGAGTCAGACCTGACTCATAGCGACCCCTCCTTGGGTTTCCGAGGCACTATCACTATGGAAGTAGATTGCCCAACCTTCCTTCTAAGGAGTGGCTGGTGGTTTTGAACCGCCAGCCTTCTGATTAGCAGTCAAGTGCATTAGACACTATGCTACCAGAGCTCCCACACACAGATCTACATATACTTAAAAAAAAAAAAAAAATCATACTAAATACAGCTTTATGCTGTACTTTTTTCACTTAAAGTCCTATTACAAAAGGATATTCTACCATTAGCCCCTTTTTATAGGCAGAGTCACTGAAACTAAGAAAAGTAAAGTAACTTACCCAAGGCTACCCCAAGTAAGTGATGGAGTTGGGATCCAAACTCGGGTCTTTTGATGCCAAAGCCGGACTGTTTTCAGATGGAGAACAGAGAAGGGAAATGACTTGCCTGAGATCATATAGGCAGTTCCTGAGAGGGCTGGGCCTTGACCTCAGGCCACCTGGACTTTTCTCTCCTCTGTCCAGTGTTAGGGTGGGGCTTTGGAAATCTGAGGAGAGGAGCTCTGGTGGAGGCTTGCTCTGCAGGTCAGAGGAGACCATCAGTCTAGAAGGGGGCAGATGGCACACTGTGCTCACAGCCTGGGTCCTCAGCCTTTAAGCACTTAAACCTAAGCAGAGCACACTCCCCTACTGAGCAGAAACTCAGTAAGCATTATTTTTCACTTCTGCGGCATGGGTGAAAATTCTAACCTCACACTGTTGTAAGGATGCCAAGATCACAGAAGCCACTAGCTTTGTACACTGTGGGGGTCCCAGTCTAATAACAGAAACAAGAACAATTGCTAAATGCCAGACACTGCTGAGGGCTCCACATGTGTCAGTTCATGTAGCTTTCACAAACCACAGGAGGTTGGTGTGATTATTATCACCCCAGCTTTACAGAGGAGGAAACCCTGGCTCCAAGGAGCAAAAAAATCACACGACCAAGGACAGGAGTCAGCATCTGAGCCCAGGACAGTCAGTGCCAGGTTCAATGCTTAAGTTGAGTGACCTGATAAGTGACTAGAAGCAACAAAATACTGTGGAAAAGGAACAGCAACAACAGAGCCATCAGCTATGAGGTCCAGTTTCAGTTCTGCACTGGCTGCAAATTACTGTTTAATAGTCGTAGCCAAATGACCAAACTCTGATTTATTGAAGAGACGCACCATGGCACCACACGTAAGCATTTGACTGCTAACTGAAAGGTCAGTGGTTCCCATCCACCAGCCAGCCGTTCCACAGGAGAAAACACCTGGCAGTCTGCTTGTATAAAGATCACGGCCTAGCATCTAGATGCAGTGATGGGTCTCTCCTTGTCCAGAGCAAAGAAGAATGAAGGAAACTAAAGACGCATGGAAACAATTAGTCCGAGGCGATCCACAGCCTATGTGACTATGAGACCGGAAAAGCTAGATGGTGCCTAGCTACTGCTGTCAACCACTAGGAGGGGGATCTATGTAGGAGATCCTGGGTAGAGAGGGAATACAATATAGAACAAAATTCAAAATCATTTTTTTAAAAAAAGGGGGGGGACCAGTTTTGCTGGTCTGATGGAGTGTGGTGGAATCCCTGAGACTATGGCCCCTCGCTGCCCTTCAGGTCTGGAATTGAACTCACTCTTGTAGCTTCCAGCCAAACAAAAGAGGCGTATGAGCCAAACATTTACATTAGGTAGATACACTCCTTGGAAAGATGAATCATGGGAGAATAGAAGGGCTGTATATGCACAGGGAGACAGCTCGGGTGGCAGGAGTGCATGGGAGGGAAGGACATAGGGAAGAGAT